GAGTTTTTGAGATTCAAACTGAGATCGAGTTCAAACCCTGATCGAGTAAAACCCAAATCAAAACGTACAACGAAGAAGTCATGATGCAACCTAATCTAAATCAAGAAAAATCAATAAGTTTAAGGCTTCGATCTACCTTAAGTACACGAAGAAATGAAATCGCCTAAAAGGGTCGCTGAGAGCTTTTTTCGTGAGAGAGATACGGAAACATCGATGATGATTTTTTTTTCACTTTCCAAAGCCGTATACATTATTCCACCGATCCAATCATATCATGCTACGTGGATTTGTTGATCTCTTAAAATATTCCGGAGAAATTGAAATTAGCGGCTGGGTTATTGAACTTTAAGGCTGAGTTTTTGAAATTAACGGCTGAGTTATTGAACTTTAGGGCTGAGTAAATGAAATTCACGGCTGAGTTACTGAAATTTGACGACTGGGTTATTGAACTATAAGCCTGAGTTATGTTAAATTAACGCTGGGTTATTGAAATTAACTGCTGAGTTATTAAACATTAAGGCTGAGTAAAAGAAATGCACGGCTAAGTCAATAACTCAGTCGGATCATAATCAATAACTCAACCACTTCATAAATCAAACTCAACTCAGCCACACTATACAATAATTCAGTTACAACATAATCTATAACTCAGACACGTCGTAAATCAAACTCGGTCAAATATAAATCAAACTCAGGCACAACATACCAGAGAAGATGAGAAGATGATGTCGTAGATACGATTACGTCGAAACTTTTGCGGAGAAGAGGATGTCGACGAAGATGATATCGGAGACGGTTAGGGTTTAACGAGGTCGACGAAGATGATTTACGATATCAGAAACAGTTTGAAATGAGAGTATTAGTTGTGATTTCATGATTTCGTGATTTCGTAATCGGTTAGGGTTTAACGAAAGTTGTGACAGAGAAGTTGTGACATACTCTTTTTTTTTTGTTCACCAGAGATATGGGACTGTTGATTTTCCAGTGTAATTGTTGATGACACAAATTAGTTAGTGACGGGGATTGTCAAAATTATGATGTGGATTTAATAATTAAAATTTGTATCAATAGTAACAAAATTACACAAGGGTGTTTATTGTAATTTATTAGCAGTCTAAAAACATTCTAGTAATTTTTAGAAAATGTATACTATACTAGTCATATACAAGCTTTTGTGAATCATTATAGTAATTTTCTCTTTGTTTTTTTAGGTTAGTTGCCTAATTTTCCTAAAAAAAAAAAAAAAAAAAAAGCAAATGAAATTCCTTACTTGGGGTTGAAGTCGAACTAGAGTCGTCGTAGAGACATGTCTCACGTGGTGTCCACATGTCTTTAATTTTATTTTATTTTTCAACCAAATGTCTTTAATCTTTAAGGTCATGTTGCTTCCACTATAATTATATTTCTTTTTTTTTTTTTTTTTTTGACATCAAACG